ACACACACACACACACACACACACACACACACACACACACACACACATTTATGTCATCATTTTGTTCTTGCTTATTAAGATGTGCGATGCAAAATGGCAATAGCCAAGTTCCTTGCCATAGGAACTTCACGTACCTGGACTCTCAGCACTCCATCCCCACCTACCGGCAGTGAACAACCACATTCACTGCCCCCTGTGGAGCAGCAGTGGTGTGGACTGCAGCTTTGCTAGTGAGCTCCTGTTACAGCCTCCAGGGCCGTTCTTGATTGTAGTTAAAGTCTTAGCTGCATTCCGATTTTTATTTTGATTTGGCCATATGCAGACATGAGAGTTCCTGTATATGGATACGTGTGTGTGTGCACATATGTAGACATATATATATGGTCCAGAGGGCAGTTTAAGTGCTGCTATTCAAGATCCATCTTTTTTTTTTTTTTTTTTTTTTTTTAACACAGGGTCTCTCAATGGCCTGGAGCTTGCCCAAGTAGGCTAGTTGGCTGGCTGGTCAGGAAGCACAGGGGATTTGCCTACTTCTGTCTCCCTAGTGCTGGGACATGCCCCACGCCCGGCTTCTTTTAGGTGTACTCTGAGGACTGAACTCAGGTATGCACTTTTACAAGGCAACCAAGCCATCTTCCCAATCCCGCTCTAATTGTATTCTTTTCCTCAGCCATCTCAAAACTACAACCCCACACGTAAATCCTTGATGAAGAAACACTAAGTGAAAAGTAGCAGTGGGTGAATTTCAGTAGCTTATTTCATAATTCTTATTTCACTTAAAGCAAATTATCCTTTTTTTTTTTTCTTATGTAAGTGTTACTGACTATCCAAAGATGACACATGGAGGAATTGGTGAGAGATGAGACATTCAAGTAGACTAGAACTCTTCTTGGACTGTTTTCATAATCATCAGTATTTTTCATGTCTAGCAACATTCCTGGAATGAGAATGTTCAGGGTACTCTCTATTAAAATCAAGATTATTTGATGAATTTCAGTCCCTTTCCACAGAAGTAAAATTGCAAGTATAAAACTGGTTAACTCATGAGATGGTAACTGTGATAGACGGATAAAGTAGCTGAGGATACGGGGAGGCTGAGGATATGGGGAGGCTGAAGATACAGGGATGCTGAGGATACAGGGATGCTCATACTTAAGTCTTTGAAACAGGTTCAGAACCTACCAAGAAATCACTTATGCCCCTTGATGGGTCTCACAAGTGCTGGGATGAGGGGCTCCTCACCTTGCCAGGGCCCACAGAGAACTTAAAAAGTTTGCTGATGTTCTATATTTAACAAAAGCAATACCAGAAAGAAGCATATGGACCCATGGGTCTTTGGTCTGAAGGCTACTTATAAACTGGGCAGGATGAAATTAGGAAACAGAACTTTGATCTTGTTCTTCAAATCTTGCTGGAACCCCAGGTCATAAGCAAACTGACTATTGAAGGAGGGCAATGGAAACTTCTGTGTGCTTGTTGGGATTTTTACAAGTAAATACATTCTGAGGGCTACTTCCAGGATCAAAACATAGTTACTTTTCTCATATGCCTTTATTATTTTTAAAATGTAAAAGGTAAATATAACAAAACTATAGTGATTTTCTAACTATGAATACCGGAGATACCCAAGTATTTAGTGGTTTTGTACCATGCTTTCTGGAAACATTTCATAACTGAGCATGTTAAAAGAGCCAAAGCATGCCATTTTACACCTGGCCACATGTTACAGATGGAGAGGTCAGAATCCCTAGCAGGAAAGCCACAGCTTTTGCTTTGCTAAACATACATGATGTGACCATCAAATTGCCTTTTCATTAACTATGTATGCCCAAGGATTTCTCCTGCTGTCATCTTTGGCTAGAGAAGCTTTCCTCTTTTTTTTTTTTTTAAGGGGAGAGAGAGTATTAACTGTGGGGGCTCCTAAATGGTCATATTTTTAAACTTGAATGATTGTTGAATGAATGCTAAGCCACAATTGGGGCATCCCTATCACACCCTCCAAAGCTCAGGTAACATCTGTGAGGAGAGGGTAGGAAGAATGTAAGAGCAGGCAGAAGAGGTGGCGTGTTATGGGCATGACATGCTTGTGGGGACTGCTGGCCTCACGGCATCTGTGATGGCCTGCCAAAGACCTCAAGATCTGCACAAGATAAGGCTTGCCAAGCTTCCGTCACAGGGGGAGAAGGTACTCATGAGGCTCCGTCCCTCTCTGAAGATTCACGGGCAGCTAATGGTTGCTAGGAGGGCTAGAGCCATCTTCTTTAGTAGCATGTTGTAGCTTTCCACAGTTGCCCATGCTCCTATCACCAACCCTTACAAAACTTGCAGCGACACACACACACACACACACACACACACACACACACACACATATAAGGTGGGGGTGGGGCTACTTGTAAAGGGGAAGAAGACCAGTGAGAAGGGGACAAGCAGGGATATGGGAGTGAATACCTTATATACATGTATAAGATGTCAAAATGAAACCCACAATTGTAATTAATATATGCTCCTAAAGAATCCTTAAAAGAGTCAGAACAACTGTAGCACAAAACAACCAACCACATTACACATTCTGTGGTATTTACAAAGAATTTAGCTTGTCTCTGCATTTGTTAAAAATATGAGATATTCGGTTCTCAGTAAAACCAGGTATTGAGATAACATGCAATCTCAAGATATAGTTATGAAGATATTCAGTTTGGTGACACCGTGACAAACGTTAATAGAAATCACCCCCCAGGAAACCCAAAGTCCCTCCAGCACCATTTCACCGTGCTGCCAATTCATCACCCTTAACAAGGTGTACTGGGAAGAGCTGAATACCGACCTCCCGGGGACAAATGATCCTCTTGGGACGAGGCGCCTCCTGCTGCAGCTGATACACTGCCAAAAAATAATAAAAAAAGGTGATTATAATTAGAAAACTGCACTGCATAAGCAACACACCTTCACATATTCCCAGCCAGGCTCATCCTCAGGACTGCAGAAAAAAAAAAAAAGAAAAGAAAAGAAAAGAAAAAGAAAAACACAGAGCACAGACATGGGTGAAGTCAGATGTCAGCTCATTTATATGGAAATTAGTCACTGAATGCAAACCAGCAAAATTGATTTTTTTTTTTTTTTTGCTCTTATAAAGCCAATTTAGTTTCATAATTGTTGCTGGTGTTGTTCATTCTATGGCTTTCTTGGGAGACTAGACTCAGGTAAAATGTATTTGATCATTTTAGAGATGAAATTCTGCTTGTGAGTACCTGAGTGTAGGTTGATATAACAGGATCCTTGAATTTAAATGCTGATGGCTCCTGACATAGCTAGTGGAGAGCTAGCATCAAGGACTGCCATTTTCTGACATATTACAGATGCACACAAAGACACTGGATTTTGTGAGTGAAGGAAATACCAAGTCTCTCTCTGTCTCTGTCTCTGTCTGTCTCTGTCTCTCTCTCTCTCACCCCTGCATCTTTGCCCTGCTTCTCACCATAGATTCTCATTTATCTGACTAATCTTCCCATCTCTTGTCATTTCTCTCTCCTGGGTGCTTGGACATCTTAAGTAATAACTATCGGAACCTATTTAAATGACAGGCTTGTGTCCTGGCTAGATTTTTCGTCAAAGTGACACAAAACAGGGTCATCTGGGAGGAGAAATCTAATCTTTTTTTAAACTTTTTATTGGTTCCTTGTGAATTTCACGTCACACACCCCAATTCCACTCACCTCCACCTCCCTCAGACCCACTCACCACCCCTGCAACCTCCCTCCAAACAGACAAAAAAAAAATCTTGTTGGGGAAGCTGTAGTGTCTCACCATGTGTCCCACAGTATACCCTTTTGGCCATACTTCTTTGCTTGCAAATGTTCGTTGAGATGAGTCCTAGGTCTGGTGCCTCTGGCTTCTGCTACTCTATCAATACTGGAATCTCCCTGGGACTCTAAGATATCCTATTGTTGTCCTCTGTAACCGAGCTCCTGCAGCTTTGGATCTGCAGGCACAGCCCCTTCATGAGCTCCAGCAGTTCTAGACGGTGTAAATGTAGGGCTTAAGCCCTGGATCTGGGCCTGAGAGGTATCTCAGGCTGGTCAGTCTAACAGGCTAGCTCTCCTGCCCCCACACGATTGAGGTAAGCTTTCCTGCCTTACCCCAGCTGGACTATCCAATGCTGCAGCCAGCAAGGTGCACAGCCAGCTCTTCTGCTCTCATGCCCTTGCGGCTGGCTCATCCAAGCCCACACCACTGTCAGGGTCAGCTCTGCTGTGCTGCCCAAGCAAGGCACGGGGCCTGTTCTCCCTCTCTCAGGCCCTCTGGAGGGGAAAATCTTAACTAAGATAATGCCACCATAAGAATGGCTTAGATGCAAGTCCGTGCGGCATTTTCTTGGTTACTGACTGATAAGGGAAGGCCCAGTACACTGGGGGTAGTGCCACCCTTAGGCTATTGGTCTTGGGGTTTATAAAGCAGCCCGAGAAAGCCATGGAGAGCAAGCTTGTAAGCAGCACTCCCCCATACCTCCTGCTTCAGGCCCTGCCTCAAAGTTCTTTCCCTGACTTCCCTTCATAACAGACTGTGATCAGGACATGGGAGCCAAATGAGCGCTTTCCTCCAAGATGCTTTTGTTCGTGGTATTTTGTTCACTGCACTATAATGCAACCTCGGGGGCAGGCATACAAAAAACAGGTGACAGCACACAACACAGCTCACCAGACGATTACCTAGAATTTTTCAGGCTATAAGGAAGGCGTTTTCTTCTTCTGATAGACTAATCTGAATTCTCCTCTCTATCCTTTGACCCCTATTTTTCTTTCTTCTTTCTTTCTTCCTTTCTCCAGTGCCAGGATTCAACCCAGGGCTTGCTGCCTGTATAGGCAAGCAATATACCTCCTAGCTGAAACTCAATCCTGATGATGCTCTTCAAGGGAACAGCTACCCTACGCCAATACCTTCAGACTCTACTGGCATGGAAATAGAGATTGGAAGCAAACCAAGTCAACCTTATATTTAGCATCCTGAAGAAGAAAAACTAAGTTTAGACAGTAAGGCTATAAAACAGTAAAATCCACATTCTATAAGGTATTTTAAGAAAATACAATAATACAGGTACGGATTTCTAATTTAATTTTGGTCCTAAAAATAAAACAGAGGAATCTTAAGGGAGAGGCAGACAGTGTGCGAGGCATGAAAACAATGGGCTTCATCTATAATTTCAGCTCCCTAATGCCTTCAGCTCAACATGGCTGCTTTTTTGCCAATTTAAGTGTGGATTCCACAGCACCAGTATAGAGCAAACTCAGTACCCCTTCCCAGTGTTGCAATTCCCTGTATTCCCAAGTGTGAATTGTACACAGGCATGTGCTGCCCAAGGGAAAATGCACCAGTGTATGGAAAGACAGCAGAACTCAGCATGACTTCTTGGCTCAGAAAGACAGATAAAAAAGATGGCTTCTAAAAAAACTGACTCCCATATGGAGGAAAAGCCTGAAGGTCCTGATGAAGCAGTATGGGGTGTGTGTGTGTAGAAATGATGAGCTAGGTGCACGTGCCGCTGCCGATCTGTGGACTAGTTTGCCCCTACCTGTCTTTTCCTTGGTTTCCAAGACACAACCCTCTCAGATTTCTCCATATTTGGAATTTTCTTTTCCAGCCTTTGTGCTGCCTCCTCTTCTTCTACCTACTCATTGACCATAGGAGGTATCCAAGGCTGATTTTAGACCTTCGGCAGGTCCCATTTCCCCTCTTGATCCTACAGACACTGCTCTCATTTAGAATTTCATGGATGAATTATACTTACAAGGTTCCATCACTGCTCAGAACTCTCCCTGAAGTACCAGGCCACATGCCCAGCATCCTAGAAGCCTGCTAATTGGCTCAAAGGGCTTCAAATTCAAGAGCTGAGTGTCTGACTTGGTGCAATGCCCCATATACTCTCATTTCACCGCATACTATGTTCTTTTCTTAACCAAGTTGTTTTCTTCATATTTTTGCAGATACACAGCGTTCCCTTCAATGGCAGGACCTTTGTACATGGAGTGCTTACTCTCTATGCCCCATTTTCCTTCTGTAGATCCACTTCTCTCCCACTCATCACTATGACTTCAGTTTAAGTATCAACTTGGTGCAGCCACCTTTTTTGACATTAAAGACATCAGCTATTCTGGGCCCTTACAATTCCCTGTGCTTTCTTTGGCGTGTGTTTAAAGAGGAGTATCTCTCTTCTTGAGTTTCCTAAGTCCTGCCATAAGAAGAGTGATCATGCCTGCTTTTGTTTTGTCTTCTATCTCAAATGTATATTGAGGTGGTAGGACCATAAATCAACTAAAATCATAGCCATCTGTGAGAAACCTGTCAGATTTTGTGAGAATGGAAAAGAAAAATATTTGTATGAAAAAACAATATTTGTATGAAGCACCTATCTTGCAAATGCAGACCTGGCAAGATAACAGCACTTCTAACATCATGAGGGAATCACTTCTTGAGCTCCAGTGTACCTTCTCATGAGCACCAGGCTCTTGCAGGGAGGACTGCGGAGCTCTCGGGCCCCCAACACAATGAGTGTTTGGATGTTTTCTTCAGTTAAAAAACAGAAAAGTATAAAAATACAGTACATGGAGCCTACTTGCAGGGTCCAGTCCTTCCTCCTTGACTCCGCCCCCTGGGGACTCCTGGGAACCTCATGGCAGACCCAGCCTTCATCCAACCTTTGGCTAGACCCTTTCAGTGCCCCCTTCTAGCCTATCTTCATTCCTCTGTGTTGTCCCCTTTACATAGAAACACACTCTACCAGGGATTCCCAGTGGCCACACCTGGCAGGGACCCAGCAGCATGCGCTACCAGGAAACCCACAATACACAGTGGAATGAAATGATGAAAACAGTTCAATATATGAAAGTAGAAATAGAATCATGAAGGAAAACTCAAACTGAGGTAAAATTAGAAGTGAAAAATTTAGGAAGTCAAACAAAAACCTTAGCATAAGCCTCACCAAGAGGAAGCGAGGATGTCAGGCACTGAAGACAAGAATGAAGAAATGGTTATCTCAGTCAAAGGAAATGTTACCTCTAAGAAACCAAGGTGCAAAATGTTCACAAAATCTGAGACACTATAAAAAGACCAAACCTACAAATAGGAATAGAGGAAGGAGAAAAAAAACAACCACCCATGTTAAAGGTACAGAAAATACTTTCAACAAAATCATAGAAGAAAATTTGCCTAACCCAAAGATGCCTATTAAATACAAGAAGCATACAAAACACCAAATAGACTGGACTGAAAAAAAATAATTTTCCATAATAATATAATACATAATAATAATAACACATAATAATCAAAACACTAAACATACAGAACAAAGAAAGAATATTAAAGACAGCAATAAACATATAAATAAAAGACCAAACATATAAAAAATATATAAAAAAGACCAAGAAACATATAAAGACAGACCCGTTACAGTCTCAATGGAGTCCCAATAGAGACTCTAAAAGCCAAGACGAGCCTGAAAAGATGTTCTACAAGCTCTGAGAGTTCATAGATGCCAGCCCAAACTACTATACCCAACAAAAAGTTGAATCACAATAGAGAGAGAAAAAAATTCACAATAAAGCCAATTTTATGCAGCATCTATCTAAATATCCAGGTCTAGAGAAGGCATTAGAAGGAAAACTTCAACGTGAAGAAGTTATTACACCCAAGGAAACACAAAAATAAATAATCCCAGACAACCAAATCAAAAAAGAAGGAAAAAAAAAAACCCACACTACAACAAACCAATGGGAAGCAACATTGTTGATCACTCTGAACATCCATGGTTTCAACTGCCCACCAAAAAGTCAATGACTAACAGATTGGATTTGAAACCGGGTTTTATCCTTTTTCTGCATCCAAGAAAC